CCCTTTCCACCTGACACTCTGAGGACACGCCCCTTTCCACCTGACACCGTGAGGACATTTCCCTTTCCACCTGACACTGTGAGGACACGCCTCTTTCCACCTGACACCGTGAGGACACGCCCCTTGCCACCTGACACCGTGAGGACACGCCCCTTGCCACCTGACACCGTGAGGACACGCCCCTTTCCACCTGACACCGTGAGGACACGCGCCTTTCCACCTGACACTGTGAGGATACGCACCTTTCCACTTGACACTCTGAGGACACTCCCCTTTCCACCTGACACCGTGAGGACACTTCCCTTTCCACCTGACACTGTGAGGACATGCCCCTTTCCACCTGACACCGTGAGGACACGCCCCTTGCCACCTGACACCGTGAGGACACGCCCCTTGCCACCTGACACCGTGAGGACACGCCCCTTGCCACCTGACACCGTGAGGACATTTCCCTTTCCACCTGACACCGTGAGGACATTTCCCTTTCCACCTGACACCCTGAGGACACTTCCCTTTCCACCTGACACTGTGAGGACGCTCCCCTTTCCACCTGCTGCTCTGTGTCCAGCACTGAGACACAGATGCAGAGGAACCTGGGAAAACGTGCCTCCCCAAATGCTCACACCCAAATTACAGGTGTGAGCCACTGTACCCAGCCTGAATTATCCTTTTTTGATATATATTGTTGGATTTGATTTGCTAAAATTCTTTTTAGAATTTTTGTATTGTTTTCATGAGGAATGTCTGTGTAATTTTCTTTTCCTTTAATACTCAGTCTAGTTTTGGTATTAGTGTAATGCTCCCTCATAGAATAAGTTGGGAGATAGTCCCTCTTCTTTATTTTTTTCTAGAAGATTTTGTGTACAATTAGAATTATTTCTTCCTTAAATATCTGGTAGAATTCAACACTAACACCATCTCTGTTCTTGGTTTCAATGGTGGGAAGGTTTCCAAGTATAAATTTATTTTTTTAATTGATACACAGCTTTTATGGCTGTGTATTTACTCTTTATAGCACTTCGGTAGTTTGAGTCTTTCAAGGAATTCTTCCATTTCTGCCAACTTGTCAAATTTATTGGCATAAAATGTTCACATTCCTTTAGTGATACTGATTAAAACTGGGGTGTTACCACCTTCTCCACTGATGAGCCCTGTAATCTGCCGGCTCACTCGCTCACTCTCTCCAACTCCCTCTCTCCTTCCCTCCCTCTCACCTTATCAGTCTTGATAGACATTTATTAATTTTACTGGTATTTCCAAAGAACCAGCTTGTGGTTTCATTGGTTACTACTTTTATGTTTTCTGGTTCATTGATTAATACTCTGATTTTTTTTTCTGTTTTCTTTAGGTTTTATTGCTCTTCTTTTTCTATTTTCTTAAATTAGAAGGTGAGGCAATTGATTGGAAGCCTTTCTTCTGTGTTAATATAGACCTATACTGCTAACTCTTGTCACTTAAATACTGCTATAGTTGCAACCTGCAAATATTCATAGCTTGTATTTTAATTTTCATTCAATTCAAAATACTTTTAATTTTCCTTTTGATTTCTTCTTTGGCACATGTGTTCTTTATGAGTGTTGTGTTTATTTTCCAACTACTTGGACATTTTCTAGGGATTTCCTTTATTTGAAATGAGATTTTTTTTTTTTCTTTGAGATGGGGTCTTGTTCTCACTGCAGCCTTGACCTCCTGGGCTCAAGGGATTGATCCTCCAGCCTCAGCCTCCCAAGTAGCTGGGACTACAGGCATGCACCACCACACCAATGCTTTTTTCTATTTTTGGAAGAGATGGGGTTTTGCCATGTTGCCCAGTCTGGTCTCAAATTCCTGGGCTCAAGCAATCCACCCACTTCAGCCTCTCAAAGTGCTGGGATTACAGGCGTGAGCCACTGCACCCAGCCTGAAATGGACTTTTTCTGAAATAACTATAACCACTATAGCTTCCTTTCAATTAGTGCTACCACGGTGTATCTTTCTCAGCTTGTTCACTTGTAACCTCTTTGTTCTTTATATTTAAAGTGGGTATTGTTTAGGCAACATTTAGTGGAGTATTGTTTTATTAAACAATCTATTTCTGTCTTTTAATTGCACTTGTGTTTATACTTATATTTAATAAGATTTTTCACACAACTCAGTTTAAATCTATCAACTTACTATTTATCTTCCATTTGTCCCATCTGTTCCTTTTCTATTTCTTTTTCGGCTTTTGTTTGGATGGAATAATTTATAGGATTCTATTTTCTCTCTCTCACTGGCTTGTTAGTGGTAGCTCAGGTGTGTGTGGGAGAGATTACTGGTTGTTTTGGGTGTATAGTCGTCTTTAACATATTAGAGTCCAACTTCAGGTGACCTGTTAGCACTCCATGGACAGCAACAGAAACCTAGAATTGTGCATTTTTATCTCCTCCCCCTGACTTTGTGCTTTTGTTGTCAGATATCGTGATTCTACATGACATGTGCTTTAGAAGACACTGTGGCCCGGCATGGTGACTCACGCCTGTAATCCCAGCACTTTGGGAGGCCAAGGCAGGTGGATCATGAGGTCAGGAGATAGAGACCATCCTGGCTAAAACAGTGAAACCCC